CATCTCTGCAGGGTGTATTCTAGGTCAAAGTATTTTCCTGAGGGAAAGTCTAGTGCTATCATATTCTTTTATAGAAGATACTCATTTCTGCTGGGAGGTGGTTTCCAGTACAGGTAGTTGGACTAGGACAAGATGACTGCAGAAATCACCATGGCTATGCTGGAAGAACAACATCTCTGGGTGACCTTCCTTCTTGAATCAAAATGTAGATTGCAGGTAGCTGAAATAGACACCAATGTCCCTCTCTTCCTCCCAAGGAACGTCATCCTGCTCTGCTGTCAACAGGGGTCCCAAGACTCCCCCAGCACCTCTCACCATCGCCTCCCAATATGCATTGTTGGCGGAGGTCAGAGCTAGCCCCATTGTCTCAAGGAGAATGAGCTCAGAGAAGGAGGGGCTTTTTATCCAGGTCTCTGAATAAGGCTCTGAAACAGCCAAATTAATGCAAGGACTTTATGCATTACCTAGCCTAAATAAAGCTATACTGGGCCAGGAAAACCCTTTCTCAATGGAAAGGAAAATTCTATCAACAGCTACAGTATATCTTTTTCTATCTGAAAGAGTTTAAAAGGTAAGTTTGTCATAGAATTATATCTTTGGGGGGACCATCCCAGGCTATCACCACACTAAGAGTTGGAGAAATGGAATAGCGCACTCTAGCTGAAGAAACATTCTGGGTTGCAGGACGGCCTGGCTGGAAAACAGCTCATACTGATCATGAAAACCTTTTGTTTTCTGAACTGCTATTGTTTTATTTAATCCACTGGGAAGGTGAAATGTAGGCATCATCGCTGTCATATTTTGTTCTCCATTCCAATGTGTTAGCCACTTAAAGATGTTAATCTGCATGCAATTTTATTTTTTTGTGTTGTCTGTTTATTAACAGCAAATGGAAAGGATAATAACAATAAAAAGATTGAATAGGCCTGGCACGGTGGCTCATGCTTGTAATCCCAGCACTTTGGGAGGCCAAGGCAGTTAAATCACAAAGTCAAAAGTTCGAGACCAGCCTGTCCAATATTGTGAAACCCTATTTCTACTAAAAAATAGAAAAATTAGCCCAGTGTGGTGGCACACGCCTGTAGTCCCAGCTACTAAGGAGGCTGAGGCAGGAGAATTGCTTGAACCCAGAAGGTGGAGGTTGCAGTGAGCCAAGATGGAGCCACTGCACTGCAGCCTGGGTGACAGAGTAAGACTCCATCTCAAGAAAAAAAATATTTACGAATCCAGAAAAAGTCACCAGACTAACATAACAAGAAACAAATATTTTTACTGGGTAATAATAGATTGAGTTATCTTCAACAATATTGTTATCCTTTATATTCAGAAATTGTTTCAGACACTGAGTATTATGTTCAATTCTGTTTAAGAAAGATTTTGCAATATGATTTTACTATCCCCCACTTGTCATACTATAGGAATATATCTCATTGTAACAAAATAATTTATTGCATATTTATATAGACCCTCTTCAAAATCATGTACTTACAGAAATTTAAGAATTTTTGATTTTGCCTTTCTGTTTGAGTTATTGATCTCAAAGAAACACTGCCATGTGACTGATTCGTCTTTGGCTTAGTTTGCAAAAGTTCACAATGCTGAGATGTGTATCTTCAAGCCTACCTCTCAGGTTATTTCACCTCCATATGAAGCACTTGCTTCAAAAATCCATTACTGTGAAATTGTCCTCAAGCATTGATTCAAAGTAAGTGTATGATGCTGTAGTTGTTTTTTTACTGCTTATGTAACAAATTACCACAAATGTGGTTGAATAAAACAATAGAAATTTATTCTTTCACAGTTCCGGGATCTAGTAAAATTTTGCTTTCTTTGGGAATCCTAAAGGAGAATATGTTCATCCTTCTTCCAGCTTCTGGGGATGATCAGGATTCCTCAGTGTCTGACCACATCTGTCTGCCCTGTCTTCACATCGTGTTGCCTCTGTGTGCCTTCAGCAGTTCGTTTCAAATTTCCTTCTGCCTTTATTGCATAAGAAATGTTGTTTTTGGAATTAGGGCTCCTTCACAAAATTACGGATTATTTTAAGATTCCTAGATTAATCGCATCTGCAAAGACCCACTTTCAAAATAAGGCAATATTTACAGGTGCTGAGGATTAGGATAGGGATATATCTTTTTGGGGTCATCATCAGTCTACCACATATACAGTACATTTAGGTATGGCCATTTTATCTACAGACAAAATATAGTCCCTATCATTATGCCAAGTCGAATATATCCTTTACAAACACTGTTTTTAATTATTTTAAATTTTCAAATAATCAAATTTTAACTGTAATTTTTTTTAAATATATAAATCATGTCTTGGCTAAGAGATAAAAATTTATATTATGTATATTTACCATATCCTATATATTATATGTGTATAGTTTATGGAGCACATTTAATATACATATAAATGACTAAATGTATAACTAAAAGTGTTGTTCATTTAAGTAATAACATTTTCTGGGTGTCTACTTTTATCTATAATTATACTTATATTTATAAAATAAGTATAAAAATCTTATACTTCTTTATGTCTCTTATAATATTATACTGCTTGTGTAATATTATAATAGACATAAAGAAGTATAAGATATATTACCATTCATTATTGGGTGAAGGGGTATCTCCATTCAAATAAATGACATTTGGTATCAATCCCTCTTCCTCTATGATTTTTACCTTGAGATTTGTCTATATCATCATAGTGAGGACATAACTCTTTTAACTGTTATAAAGAGTTATAATTGACCAAGCCTATACCTTTAATAGGTGCCTAAAGAACCTACCCTCATGACTCTAACTTGCTAGAATAGAAAAGACTGTCTTTATAGGCCCTCTATCAAGTAGACTTTCGGTGGGGCCTAGATAAGATGAAGCAGGCTCTCTCCTTTCTTTTAATAGTAACTGATTGTAAACATGCAAGAAAATCTGTCCAAGAAGAGGCTATGATTCCACTACAACTCCCCTTCAAACGTATATGATGAGGCTAGTAGATAAGCATAGTAATGACAATAGTATTTTTGAGACTGATACAACTTTTCCAACTTAAATGCAGGCATGTCTGAGAATTTACATTTACTTATGCCTCGGATCTTCCAAGAGCATAGTCAAGATTCTCGAGGTTTTTTTTTTTTTTTTTTTTTTTTTTTTTTTTTTTTTTTTTTTTTTTTTTTTTTTTTTTTTTCCTCAAGTTTTAATTACTGAATCCATTTTACTTTCTTATGCAATAAAAAATGAAGTCAATAATAAGTATAGACTGAAATGATATCCATCATCTTAAGAGATTTAACTTATAACTGGGAATGTGCCTGCTTCGTAAAACCTTGCCATTAGCCATGTGTGGTTAAGTGAAATTACATTTATAAAACATTTTTAAGTGTTATGGTATTGATTATTTTAAATTATTGTTTAGCTTATAATTTCTGTATGAGTAAAGGCATTATCCTATATTTAAAGTACATGAAGGATTAACTGATTCTCAATGTCATTCACTTATGAAGCAGGACTTCCTCTAAGGCAGAAGCTGAAATTGAGAAGAAAACACTAGATTAGATCAAACATGAGAAATTTGTGTTTCTTGTCCTTAATAATATTTGTAAAAAGCTGTCTAGGTGGGAAATCTGAAGTACAATGTTAAGATGGTTCTTTCGAATGGGACCATATGGAACCTGGGGAGTAACAGAAGGTTAATTTGAGATTCTAGCATCATGATTACTAAATTAGACATCTTCTTCCACTAGGTGGCCTCTTACAGTAACAAGCCTTAATAGATTTGAGATTTTTGCTTGTTTGATTTTTAGATGAGTAGAGAGATATATACATACATAAATTGATTGACTTGACTGAGCACTTCTAAGTCTCGGAATTTACTATTAAAATTTCATGAAAAAGACAACTAATACAAACATATACATATATAATTTAATTATTGAAACATTATATAGCACACAATCTAATGAGATAATACATTAAGTAAATTAGAATATTTGTATTAAATAATAGCTGTTCAAAGTATGTTGCAGAGAATTATTTTGACATGGAAAATGGTTCATGATATATGATAGAGCTAGTTAAACAAACAGTATTTTTCACACAATTTTTATAATACTGATCTATATGAAATAAACAGCAAAAACGTATAACTGCACAATTATTAAAAATGATCACTTTTGTTTGCATGTTTCAAGATGTCATCTCTTTAGTACTTTAACTGGAGTTTCATGTTTTTCTAAGATTTTAAAACTTGCAATCAAAATCTCATACAAAGTACATATCACATTGCTTCCACAAGGGACCACACAAAATCTAAAATGTTCAAGATTCTATAATTTTCAATATAAGAATAAAAGCAAGAAAATAATACAAACCTGTTGATTAATAAGGTAGTAGAATTACAAACATGTATTTTTCACCAAAAATAAAATAATAAATATCACAACCATTTTCTATAATGCTAATGACACTATAAAGGAAGTCAGTTAAGTTCTATTATTTTCAGAAGTAACGTTGAGAAAGTATTATCCCCTGTAACAATTTGTATACTTTCTCAAATCGTATGCTCTTGTTTTTGATGGAGAATACCAGAAATTCATGCTGTCCTCATGATAAAAATCATGATAAATACAAATGATCATGATAAAAATATAAATTATTAAAATCCAATAAAACCTAGGTAAATATAAATATTGGCTTATAAATATAATTCTTTATTAAAAGTGTTATCACTTTTGGAGGCAATGGCTGTTTTGTGATTGAAGTGGGGAATATACAAATGGAGCTGAAACATCTGGTCATATCAGAAGGAAGGAACTGCTCAAATATTATGATAACATATTAAAAAGAAAGAGGAGCAAGCTTAGAAGGCCCAAATGTAGGAAAGTTGGCACCAAAAAAATTATAAGTATGAAGTACAACCCATTGAATTAAAAAAATCCATGAGTCTATACTGATAGATAGATGATAGATAACAGGTAGGTAAATAGATAATAGATAAATGAATGTAGCATTTTTATATTAAAATTGCCATCTAAAAATGTAAAAGCAATTACATAGTTAGAACAACACATTTTGAACCATTACTAATAATTGAGTTAGGCAAGATAATCAATGGATACTAAAATAGTGAAGTTATGAGGAACAAACTACATATATAATAACTTTAATGGGTACTCCAGAAACTAATTAGGAAAAAATAACAAACACACAATGGAGATATCTGGGAAGCATCATCTTCACCAAGTGATCCAAGTTAGCTTCACCCCAATAATAGGCCAAATTAGCATCATATTCTTGCTTAGAATACACACAGAAGAATACTATTTTTCCTGCAGAAAGTGAATGATTTGAACAAAAACTTTGAGGAATATTGTACACTCTTAAATTGTTGGATATTTTGCTGAAGAACTCTTCAAAACATCAGTATTCAGAAATGCACAAAAAGGCTGAGTAAATATTATAGATGCAAGAGACTAAAGACAGATGACAATAGATATAATGCATAATCTTGGATTAGGTCCTGAACTTGTGTGGTTGGAGGGGGAATATTGTATATTAGAGAAAAGAAATGTGTCAATGCAATATTAAATTTTCTGATTTTAATACTTATATTGTGGTCAAGCTAGTGGGAATTAGTTTTTTCTTACTAAGAAAAATCAGAAATTTAAAGTTAAATATTATGCCTACACTTCAATCTCAAATGGTTCAAAAAATAAAAATTGTATAAAGATAATAAGACTAATAATAATGTTAACACATGCTGAATCTGCATGAAAATAAGTGGGAGTTCTTATGCAAAATTTGTGACACTGTCTGCAAGTTTAAATTTATTTCATAATTAAATTCTAGAAACAGGTAACAAATCTTGGGAACTTGAAGGGGCATATCTAATAGGGACAAAGACACAGCCTTTATCTTGGTTCATTTTCAGACAAAAACTCAAATTTTTTGACTTTTCTATCATACTTCAGTTCTTGACAGACTGCCATTAAGGAATGGGAGGCAACCAATCATGGGTCACAGAATTCATCCTGGTGGGATTCCACCTCAGTGCAGAGAGGGAACTGCTCCTCTTCTGGATCTTCTCCCTGTTATATATTTTCAGCCTGATGGCAAATGGCATGATCTTGGGACTCATCTGTCTAGACCCCAGTCTGCACACCCCCATGTACTTCTTCCTCTCACACCTGGCGATTATCGACATGTCCTATGCTTCCAACAATGTTCCCAAGATGTTGGCAAATCTGCTGAACGAGAAAAGAACCATCTCTTTTGTTTCATGCATACTGCAGACATTCTTGTATTTGGCTTTTGCTGCTACTGAGTGCTTGATTTTGGTGGTGATGTCCTATGATAGGTACGTGGCCATCTGCCACCCTCTCCAGTACACTGTCATTATGACCTGGAGAGTGTGCATGATCTTGGCTCTCATGTCCTGGTCATGTGGGCTTGCCCTGTCCCTGGTACATGCAATTCTCCTTCTAAGGTTGCCCTTCTGTGGGCCCCCCCATGTGAACCACCTCTTCTGTGAAATTCTGTCTATCCTCAAGCTGGCCTGTGCTGACACCTGGGTTAACCAAGTGGTCATATTTGCTGCCTGTGTGTTTGTCTTGGTCGGGCCTCTTTGTCTGATGCTGGTCTCCTACATGCACATCCTCTGGGCCATCCTGAAGATGCAGACAAAGGAGGGCCGCAGAAAGGCCTTCTCTACCTGCTCCTCCCACCTGTGTGTGGTTGGACTCTTCTTTGGCATAGCCATGGTGGTCTATATGGTCCCAGACTCTAATCAACGAGAGGAGCAGGAGAAAATGCTGTCCCTGTTTCACAGTCTCTTTAACCCAGTGCTGAACCCCTTGATCTACAGCCTGAGGAATGCTCAGGTGAAGGGTGCCCTCCACAGAGCACTGCAGAGAATGAGTTCTATGAAAGGAGTGGACAGAGTGTTAGTTGGATAGGGCTTTGCTTTTAAACCTATGGTTTGCTCAAGCAAAAACTGAGAATTTCTTTCCAGTTAGAAGTTTGATATGAATATGTTAATTTTTCTAATTCTAGCTCTGAAAATAGGACAAGGTTACAGTGAAAAAATAACATATTATGTTTTACACTACCCTTCCCACTGAAAACTCTATGGAGTGTGAACCCAGTTTCTGGATTAAATTTCTTGTTGAGAGTCACTCCTATTTGGAGAGTGGAAGACATCGAAAAGCTATTTTCCTTTGGAATTTGCATCATTTTCTCAGCATTTTATTGCAAATCTCCCATTTTGAAAGAAAAGCAAACTAAACTCAAAGCAAGCAAAAAGCAATATAGTTTAGAATGCATATAAATAAAATAGAAAAATGAAAAAGAATAAGAAAATCAATGAAAACAAAAGTATTTCTTTGAAAAGATTAAGAAAATTGATAAACTTTAGCTAGATTTACCAACAAAAAAATGAAAGACTCAAATTGCTAAAATTAGGGATATAGAAAACATCATTAGCAATCTTACAGATTTAGAAAGGATTATAAAAGAACACAGTGAACAACTCTACGTGAACAGTTAGAAACTTACATAAAAGGAAAAATTCCGAGAAAGATACAATCTACAAACTCACTCAAAATAAATAATCTGAATAGATTTCTAAAAAGTAAAGAAGTTGTATTAGTAATTTAAAAACTTGCACCAAATAAAGTTCTCAATCACATTGCTGTAATAGCAAATAATAACTTAATTTTTAAAAATAATACGATTTCTTCATAAAAATCTCCCCAAAATGTAAGAAAATGGAACATTTCCCAACTTATTCTATGAGGCCAGTATCACTTGATACCAAAACCAAAGACATCACAGGAAATGAAAACTATAGACCAATTTCTTTATGAATATAGATGGAAAAATCCTCAACAAATATCAGCAAACCAAATGTAGCAAACATAATTACCAAATGAGATTTATTCAAAGAATGAAAGGTTGTTTAAACATTTAAACCTCAATGTAATAGACCATGTTAATAAAATAAAGAAAATAAAACATCTCATTATATATACTAAAGGCATTTGACAATTCCAAAATCCTTTCCTGACCCCCTCCCCAAGTCCCTGCCACACACACACACACCAGACGAGAAATAAAGGGAACTTCTTCAAGCTGATAAAGGGTAGATAAGAAAACCACAGCTAAAATTACAGTTAATTGTTGGACTGGGATGCTTTCCTTATAAGAAACATCATCAAAGAAGTCCTTTGTTGCTTCTTCTCTTTGGCATTAGAATGGAAGTTCTAGCCAGAGCAATTAGATGAGAAAAAGAAATAAAAGGCATCCAGATTGGAAAGGTGTAAGGTGAAATGATCTTGTGCAGAGAAAATTCTTAGGAATTTCTTAAAAATCAGCTCAAACAAATAAATTCCACAAAGTTGCAGAATAAAAGTTTCATACTCAAATATCGGTTGTATTTCTGTCAAGAAACTGAGCTTGACACATCCAATTTTCCAAGTGTGTGAGTAACCAACTTAAGCAACTAGCTAAAATGAAAGCAACAGTCAAGTGTTTAATCATTTTCTCTGATAGCATAAGCAAAATGTTGACGTAGAGTAAGTTCCAACTCCCACACTGTTTCATTTATCCCTGTGGAGCTGCACTGGGCAAAGGTTGGGTGGGTCAACACAGAAGCAGGGATCGTCTCACTGCTGAAAGAGCCCCAGGAAAAAGGACCTAATATTTTATGGGCCTGAGAATACAGGAGAGGAGAGAAGAGGGAGAAAGAAAGGAGCTAGGAGTAGAAACATACTAAATACTGAGTCAGAGTAGAAGACACATACAGGTGTCTTCAGGGTCTCCCCCTCTCCCCATAAGATCTAGGCCAGGCTTGTCTAACTCAACTCACTCAAAAGTAAACAGATAATCTGAATAGACTTATAATAAGTAAAGAAGTTGAATTGGTAATTTTAAAACTTACATCAAATAAGGCCATCAATCACATTGCTGTAATGGCAAATTATACTTAATTTTTAAAAAGAATAATTAATACTATTTCTTCATAAAAATCTCTCAAAATAGAAGAAAATGGAACATTTCTCAACTTATTCTATAAGGCCAGTATCGCTTGATACCAACTAATCAAAGAAATCACAGGAAATGAAAGCTATGTTTCCAAATTAATCAAATGCTATTAATCAAATGCTTGATGTGGCTTTTGGGGTATTCAATAACAAGGACAAGGCTGAAGAGGCTGAAAGAACCCTGTGTGGCAAATGATGGGATAGACAACAAGCCTAAATGATAGCAGTCACTTAAGCAGCACCCTGCAACCTCAGGGTTACCCAGGGGGATATTTCACCCACAGACCAAACTAGCCTAATAGCAAACCTGCAGGTAATTGTTGCTATTTCAAGTGTGGGAAGCCAGGACATTGGAGGAAGAACTATCCCAGTCAGGGCAGCCCACTCAGACCCTGTTCTCAAAGTAGGCAGCAATGTCATTGGAAAAGGGATTGCCCCGAGCTGTGAAAGAAGAGGAAGACACCTTATGCCATAATGGCCCTAACTGAGGACTGGCGGCCATAACTGAGGGCTGGAGGGTCCAGAGGTTCCTAATGGCTCCCACAAAAGGCATAGTAAGGAGTCTTGGGTGACTCTTAACATGGCAGGTAAGAGTATTAATTTCTTAATTGATATGGGGGCCAGTTACTCTGCCCTAAATGGCCACCCTGGGCTCTTATCCTCCAAAAGCTGTACTGTTATGGGTGTTGATGGCACCCTAAAATCAAAGATCAAAGCATTTCTCTACAAAAGCATTTTTATCTGACTTAATCAGAAATACACTATGTTTAGGTTTGGGTCAGTAAAATTCCTAATCTTTTAAAAAATAAAATGTGCCGGTTAGAATGGCGATCATTAAAAAATCTGGAGGCAACAGATGCTGCAGAGGATGTGGAGAAATAGGAACACTTTTACACAGTTGGTGGAAGTGTAAATTAGTTAAACCATTGTGGAAGACAGTGTGGTGATTCTTCAAGGACCTGGAAATAGAAATACCATTTGACCCAGCAATCTCATTACTGGGTATATATCCAAAGGATTATAAATAGTTCTATTATAAAGACACATGCACACGTATGTTCACTGCAGCCCTGTGTACCATAGCAAAGAACTGGAACCAACCCAAATGACCATCAATGATACACTGGACTAGGAAAATGTGGCACATATACATCATGGAATACTATGCAACCATAAAAAACAATGAGTTTTTGTCTTTTGTAGGGACATGGATGAATCTGGAAATTATCATTCTCAGCAAACTGACACAGGAACAGAAAAACAAACACCGCATGCTCTCACTCATAGGTGGGTGTTGAACAATGAGAACACAGGGACACAGGGAAGGGAGCATCACACACTGGGGTCTGTTGAGGGGGGGGACCAAGAGAGGGACAGTGGGGGCGGTGGGGAGGTCAGGGAGGGATAACATGGGGAGAAATGCCAGATGTAGGTGACAGAGGGATGGAGGCAGCAAACCACATTGCCATGTGTTTTGTCTATGCAACAATCCTGCATGATCTGTACATGTACCCCAGAACCTAAAGTACAATAAAAATAGAACCACCACATGTGAGAACATGTGGTGTTTGATTTTCTGTTCTTGTGTCAGTTTGTTGAGAATGATGATTTCCAGATTCATATATATCTTTATAATTATAAGCGAGTAACTATAAGATTATATATGATTTTATAAAGGAATAACTATGTGCCTACATTTCTAATTCTTTTCTAAATCAATATTTATATGGGAACAGGCTGAGGCTTCAGACCCTTGCCACAGCACTTGCAGGGCTTCCCCACTACATTTACAGAAAGTGCCAAAGAGGAAAACAAAAAACTGCCAACCAAGAATACTTAAATGGCAAAGCTGTCCTTCAGAAATGAGGGAGAGATAAAGACTTTCCCAGACAAACAAAAGCTAAGGCAACTTATCACCACTAAACATGCCTTACAATAACAGCTGAAGGGAATTTTTCAACCTAAAAGAAAAGGACCCTAATTGGTAACATGAAACATGAAAGGAGATAACTTAATGGTGAAAGAAGTACAAAGTCTAATTCAGAATACTCTAATACCATAATGGTGATGTGTTAATTACTTAGATCTTTAGTTTAAAGGTTAAATTATAACCTATAAAATTTAAAGGTTATAATTTAACCTTTAAACTAAAGATCTAAGTAATTAATTTATCAAGAAAATCATCAAGAAATCAATAAAATAAATTATAAATTATTAAAAGTTACTACAATAATTTGTTAAGGGATATGTAACATAAAAAGATGTAAATGATGACATCAAATACTCAAAATGTGTGGGAGCAGGGAGTAGAATAAAAATGTAGTGCTTTCTCAGAAATCTGTGGGACAAAAAATAAAAAATAAATAAATTTAAAATGTAGTGCTTTTGTGACAAAAGAGAAGTTGTTACCAACTTCAAATAAACTGTTATGACTATAAGATACTTTTTGTAAGTGTTGTAGTAACCACAAATCAAAAATCTATAATAGAAACTTTAAAAAGTGAAAAATAAGGAATCAAACATACTATTAGGGAAAATCACTTAAACAAAAAGGAAGACAATGAGAGAGGAATAGAGAAACAAAGTATAAATAAAACAACTAGAAAACAATGAACAAAATGACAGTAATATGTCCTTACTTTATAAATAATAGCCTTGAATGTAAATGAATTAAATTCTCCATTCAGAAGGCAGAGTGGCTGAATAGATCAAAAGCAAAACTTGATGCTGCCTGCAAGAGACTCACTCACCTGTAAGGACAAACATAGACTGAAAGTAAAGGTATGAAAAAAGATTTTCCATGCAAATGAAAAACAAAGGAGAGTAAGAGCAACTATACTGATATCAGATAAAATACACTTCGAGTCTGAAACTATAGAAAGAATAAAGAAAGTCATTACATAATAATAAAGGAGTTAATTCAGCAAGAGGGTATAACAATGCTCTGATGGAGTGTGCAGTTGAAGATCTCTGTAGAGTTGCTCATTTTTGTTATTTTGGTTTTTGGTGCCAGAATTTCTCATATATATATATAAACCATAATTTCTCTTATGCCATAATTTTCCTTTTTTATGGTGTCTTTCCTGATATATATATATGGTGAAAAACAAGGAATCAAAACATACTATTAGGGAAAATCACTTAACCAAAAAGGAATACAATAAGAGAGGAATAGAGAAACATATATATATATATATATATATATATATATATATATATATATATATATATCCATTGCCCCACTTTTGGCAATGGACAGATTATC